CCCCACCCCACCACCCACCCTTTTTCTAACATGCACCATCACCTCCTCTCTTCCTCCATTACCATGGCTCCCCCTTCTTCTTCTTCTTCTTCTTCTTCCCTCTCCAAACCCCTCAAAAAGCCCTCAAATCCAAATTCCCCAAATTGCCCCTCCTCTTCCTCCCTCTGTAATCACTCCCCTTCAGCTACTCTTGATCTTCTCATCTTCATTCTTGTTCTCTTCTCTGGCACTTTCCTCATAATCTCCTACTTCTCTTACATCTTCAATTCCCTTTCCCTCCTTTTTCCCTACCCACTTACCATAAACGTCGACGTTTTGACAACCCAGTACATCTTTTACGCGTTCTTCTTCGTTGTTTTCTTCGTGGTGGTGATTTCATTCGAGATCTGTTGTGGGTTTTTCGGGTTTTTTAGATCGAGGAAATGTGGGAAACCTGGGTGTAAAGGGTTGAGAAGGGCTATGGAATTTAACTTGCAATTGCAGGGTGAAGAGTGCTTTTTGAGATCTGGTGGGGGTGATAGTAGTAGTAGTAGTAGTAGTAGTAGTAGTAGTAGTAGTAGTAGTAGTAGTAGTAGTAGTGCTGTGAGAGAGATTAATGAGTTGCCTTGGAAAGGTGGGAGTGAGAATAACCCGGATTATGAGTGTTTAAGGGCGGAGTTGAGGAAAATGGCACCCCCCAATGGACGTGCAGTGTTGTTGTTTAGGTCTAAATGTGGGTGTCCTGTCGCTAAACTTGAAGGTTGGGGTGCTAAACGAGGGCGTCGCCACAAGAAGTAAGTAGCTTCTGTTTTGCTTTAAGTATTTACTTTTTGTTTATTGTGTAATGGTTCAGTCTCATTGCTTATATGTATAGATGATTGTACTTTGAAAGAAGTGGTTCATTTTAACTGATTGGACAAAGAAAACCTGTAATGGTCATATAATCAATCATAGATGAAAAGGTGCTGTGCTGGTTTGTATTGTGAATGACGGTGATAAGACTTGTATATAACAATTAAAAAAGAAGAAAGAAAAATGATGATGAGGTAGTAAGAGTTTTACAGGGATGAGAGATCTATAAATTGGGATAATGTGGCTTCCATTTTGTAGGGTTTTTTTGCTTCTGGCTGGCTACTAAGGGTCAAGATGTTAGATAACGAAGTGTAGTGAGAATTAAAGCTAGTTATCTATGAGTTTGTTGCTTATTGATTATGTCCATTAACAAAGTGATTAAGTTCGGCTAGCTTGCGCGTATCTCGATTAATCTACCGGGTACTTGCTACCTCTCACCATTACATGTATTGGATAACTCTATCCATCAAAACATCTATAGACGAGAAGAAATACATTAGCTAGTGATTGTAAGATTACTAGTTGACTCAATGGCAACGACTTGTCAAAGAGATCAGTCAATCAACTACATCATAATTGTCTTAATAACAAACTAGGTGGAACCGACTTATGAATCCTTTGAATCCATTCTGCTCTATTCAGGTCTATTTCATTCAGATACTAATGATTTATCTTTCGAGGCAAACGAGGGATTCACTGAAACATCTTTCACATATCCGTACTTTCTTTTATTTTCTTTTGATAAGTTACATATATCCCTACATTGAGTCCTATCAAACACCAATTTGATATACGTATAACAATAATAACAGAGCTTTAATCCCAGCTAATTGGCATAACAAATACGAATCCTTTGATTCCATAAGTTTTTGTCCTTAATTAAGTCTGTAACGAATCTGAGATAGTACATATTTTGAGAAAATGTCCCTTCAATGTGATTTTTGATATACCCTTCCCCTTTTAGTACCTTTAATCATCATTGTGTCCGGTGTTTTAAAAAGCGTGGGCGTAAATCGAGGCATTTTACATATGCCTCAGCGAGGCGTAAGCTCCGAGGCTAGGGGCGTCTCCATAGGTATTTTAATATTTTAAAATAATTTTTAATATTACTAGGGGCGTAAGCCCCTAGTAATATTCTTGTTGTTGGTTGAAAGTTACTTCCTTTTAGTTTGTTATTATATCTGGTACTTAGCAACCACATCCATTGTTTTTGAAAATTACTACTGGAAATTGTTGCTCCCTGAACACTATTTGATGCTATTCTTTCTCCCTTTTACCGGAAATTATTGCTCCCTGAGTGTTACTATCTGATGCTACTTTTTCTCCTCTTTTTCCTTATCGTCTTTTGTCTCCCTCGTCTTTCTTTCTCCCACCTTTTTCTTCTTCCTCTTCTTCCCTTTTCTTCCTTTCTACCTTATCTTGAGCCGAGGGTATATCGGAAACAGCCTCTCCACCTCTCCAGGTAGGGGTAAGGTCTGCGTACACACTACCCTTCCCAGACCCCACTTGTGGTATTATAATGAGTGTGTTATTGTTGTTGTATAAAATAATATAATTACAGTAAATATTTATAAACATATAAAATTGCATAAAAATTGAAGAAAATTATAAATATGTGAAAAATATATATATAGATGTGTTTCATCCCCACAAAAAACTAGTCAAAACAATTTATTATACGCTACTTAGAAGCCCAAGTAACTTGAGTCGAAAAGAATAAAGTTTTCTATATGGAGGAACAAAAATGATGACTAACCTGCAATTTGAACTTTGAACTTGCTGCTATGAAATAGAATGGAGTTCTCTTTGTATTTGTAAAAAAAATTGAATATTCGTTGCTTTTGGGAGATATTAGCAGACTAGCGGACAAGATAAAGAATTGGGAAAGACCACGAATTAGGGCTTCAATCAATAAAAAAGGTCTTGACTTTTAAATTTAATACATTTAAGTTCCTTTTTAAAATTTTTGAGTAATTACCAAGTTGACTTTTGAGAATTTGGGTATTATATGGATTTATTTAACAAATTTTGTTTTAATTTGAAAGTCTCTGGGGCTTGCGCCTCAAACGCCCGGGCGTACGCTCCGAATTGCTAGGCGTACGCCTCTTCAGACTTTCGCCCCACACCATCGCCTCAGGGCGTTTTTGGTACGCCTCACCCCAGGGCTCGCCCCGAAAATGCCTTTTAAAACATTGATTGTGTCGAACCTATGGAGAGTGCATATGAAGGTCTACATACGTAGGGTATGCTAAACCATCCAAACAACCTTCTCTTGACATATTATCTATATAATTTGTCTTGTTTTTGCTCATCTTGAAACCCTTACCTTTTAGAATGTCCCCCAAAATTTCAGCTTTTCATTGTCGTCTTCATTAGTTTCGTCAATTAACTCATACCATTTGCAAATAACATATAGCATGAAGATTCATCTTGTATGCTATTAATTAATTCATCCATAACTAGGGTAAACGAGTGTAGACTCAAGGTAGCCCCCGGGGCTTTGGTTCTATGGTAAATGTGTTATAAGGCGAGATGTGTAGTAGGCACTCGTTATACAACAACAAACAACAACAACACACCCAAATCCCAATATAATCCCACAAGTCGGGTCTTGGGAGGGTAGTGAATACGCAGACGTTACCCCTGCAGTGAATGTAGAGAGGCTGTTTCCACTAAACCTTCAAGAGGTAGGCACTCGTTATGCGATTGAATTTTGGCTGGTGAGCTTAGTCTAGTATTTAAGTGGAGAGCTTTGAAACAGAAAACAGTGAAACTCTCGATCATAAAAAGGTAAGTATCGCCTCAAATTAAGTTCCTAATGTCAACCCATGATTGTGAGAACTTTGTTGGATTTCTTCCCATTATTCTTACCCTTGAGACTGGTCTTTGTACTGTTGTGCATATGCTTATGACATTTATATATCTTTTCTTTGAAGGAATAGTGTCCTATTACTAAACAAAAAAGGAAAGTATTAGGAACCGACTAGTGTTATGGTTCATATTGCTCCCATCTTATGACCTTTTAAACATCTTTTTTTCTTGATTGACCTAGTTTGAAGTATGGGGTTGACATTTTAGGAATAGCAAGTAAAATGTGTGTGTGCAAATCTATTGTCCAAATTTATGAGAAGTGAGTGTAAAGTTTGTTGCAACTGCAAGTATTAACTTGTAAGATATTGCATTTCTGTATATATAACCCTAAGTTTAATGCACGTTTGATGCAGCAGCGAAATATCTTATAGATTTGCTAATTCATTAGAGAAGGTTAAACTTTTAGGGCTTCAAAGATTGTTTGTTTTCCAATGGTGGTGTTAGTACTTTGGAGTGCCAATTTTATAGTGATGTAGACAAGATTGCAGATGTTCTAAGGGATACTTTGCAGTCTTCAGGCTGAACGTGGATTGGTAGCGGGGGTGGACTTCCACAAGTATTACATTCTTTTATTTCTTAATGCTCAGCCAATTGGGAATTCTAGTGTATATTTAACGTGTTCGTTATAGTCCTTGATGATTTTATATCTTTTTTCTTTTTCTTTTTTCAAAGGAATTGCATTTCAGTAATGAAGTTTTCTACAAATATAATGCCACTAGAGTCAGGTTTGTAGGATCTATTAAAATATATCTGACATTATCTTTTGTTAACCTATAAGAATATGATTGCATTATTCAAAGGTCAGAATCCAAGATTCCTAGGAGTACATTCCTTTGTACAAGTAGTAAGTCATTTCCACCAATCAGTAGGCAATTCATACTATCTCAAATTCCCATAGCCTTTATGGTGTAGATGGAATGCCATGGATGATTAATATATGAATCATTGTTCTATCTGTGCTTGTGAGAATCATGATGTAAGAAAAAGCAGATCCCTGCTGGTGCCCTTCATTTATGCTTACCTAATACTTAGATGATTCCTTTCAGCTCTAATAATGTTGGTCATCAATTTAAGACTAACTGAACCAGTTGAGGATTTGGCAGTTGGCCGCTCTGTCAGTATATAGGATTTCTGTATTGGTGGTAGTGATGAATTTTAATAAACACTTGGTGATGGCCCAGATTCTTTCTCCTCAGTTGATAGTGTTATGATATTGCTTTCTAATGGTGCACCTGTATTTTTAGAAATTTAATATGCTAAGTTCTTCGTTGAAGATCCAAAGTCAAGGTTTGTGATTAAACGAAGTTGACAACGGATCTTTAGCATATTGCAGCAGGTAGAACATCCTTTAATATTGTCATCAGGTGATCTGTTGCTATAGGAATATGTTTTATCTATGTTGGTTTTTTACATAGCTATGTCATATTTTATCAAGTCACGGGTTACACAGTGCCTTATAGTGGGATCGAATATCAAGAGGCAGTTGGAAGGGTTAGTCTATTGAGAAATAATAGAGAGACGGAAAGTCCTACAGAGTTTTTGACTGTGGCAATCTTACTAGTCGTTCGTTTTGAAGTTTTTTGTTGGACTCGGTATAAATATGTCTAACTAGTAACTACCATTCTGATAAGTAATATGTCTGACTGTTTTGATAAGTCTATTAATTCGTTTTAACTGTTTTTTGTAGCAGATAACTTGATATACATTCTGATCTGTTTTAGTTTAGGCAAGCTCTCAAGTCGTTTAGTTCCTTGGAAATTTGATGAATTTGGCTTTTGCTCGATTGTTTTCTGTTGCGATTGACCTGTCCTTTGTCCCAGAAAAGCGCTCAATAGATTCACAAGACCTGTAAGAGTTAAATTTGGCCTGAGTCTGAAATTTGAAGAAGATCGTATTTGATGGAATTATATTGAAAATGGTGATGATTGACTGATTTGGAATTTTATTTGTTAAAAAAAAATATTGATCGTACTCTCAAATACTCCCCTCATTACATTAAAAGAACAATGGTACATCAAGTACAACAACAACAACAGACCCAGTGTACTCCCATAAGTGGGGTCTGTGACTTGGTCCATCAAGTGTTATAACTTATTTTCTTTTGGTCATTACTGTTTCCACGATGACTGACCGATAAATTTGTTGATCTACTGCAGGACTCTGGCACTTAATGGTAAAGCAGATAATCGCTGAATGTTGATCATCGCACATCAGGATCTAATTCGTTACCTTCTGAATTTCAGAAGCATGGGAGATTGATATTGTTGTTCAGAACCATTTTTTTTTAAAATCCCATTGACACTTACTTTAGAACAATGCTCAATGTGTACAAACTATAGCCAGAACTTTTTCTTCTTTCCTCAAGAAGCGTATACCATAGAACATGAATATTACATAATTCGCAGTCACATTATCAAATAAGGGATGACCTATCTTTCCTCCCTCATTACTTGCCAGGTTGCTGAAAGTGTTGGAATGGTGCTCTCTTCTTAATTTTCCTCTCGGCATGTTCATTCTTATAAAAAAATTTCCTACGTTTGACATATAGTGTTATCTTTCAGTCAGACAAGAGTGGGTTGCTCTAGTGGTGAACACCCTCCATTTCCAACCAAGAGGTTGTGAGTTCGAGTCACCCCAAGAGCAAGGTGGGGAGTTCTTGGAGGGAGGGACCCGAGTTTCTATCGGAAACAGCCTCTCTGCCCTAGGGTAGGGGTAAGTTCTGCGTACAAACTACCCTCCTCAAACCCCATTAGTGGGATTATATTGTGTTGTTATTGTTGTTTCAGTCAGCTAAGAGTTTGAACCGTTTAAACAACTTTTCCACTTGTTCTATGAACAACTACTTTTAAGTCATCCTAACCTAGTTTGGCTCAAATTCTGTATGTGTTAAATTTTTTACTAAATAAGTACAAATAGTGGACTAGTAAATCAAATTCAGATTCGAACCCATAATATTATTTGGAATTTTTCACAGTCAATATCAAAGGTTAGCTCATGACAATATTGGCATGGCTTATACTCCTATTAGAATTTCAGTGTGCCTGAACTATACCCATAGTCATCTCTTAAGGAAGTTCACTCTATTGATGATTACAATATACAAGTTAATTTTCTAGAATTTCCTATATATGGATGAACTCCACTAGTTGACTCTGTTTTGCAATTTGCACAAACAAAATCGATCCATTGAGCATTTTAATTTTTTGATAGAACTTCTAACCAGAACAAATAATTCGCCAAAGTTATGTTGTTTGTGAATACGTGAATGAGGTCAAAGGTGTTAAATGACTTGTTTGTTTTTCTCTAGTTAACCTAACAAAATGTTTGTCTGCTTAAAGGTTGTACACAATTGTTTGTTGCTTAAAAACCAAAATATATTGTACTCCATTCTTTTAAAGGTTGTACACAATTGTTCAAACTCTGTCACTAATTTGAGCTTAATATTTAAGTGGAAGCAAGGTAAGGACAGACTATTTTCCCCTAAATTTCAAACGTCTTAGCACAATTGGAAAAAAAAAATTATAATATAATTCTTTTAATTTTAATTGTCAAATGATCTACAAGACCTTGCCTCTTTATTTTAAGGCACCAAATTTTGTTTATGAGTGAAACCAAGAAAGCATCCCATGGTATCGTGTGATGATCATTGGATTCGGACACAAGCCATCCTTTCACCTTCTTGTTCCAATCTTTTCACTCTCTTTTCCCTCTCCAAAATGGGTCTCTTCTTCAGCTCAAAAAACACCATCTTCACAAACCCCATTGAATCACCAACCCCACCTCCAAATCACCAAGAAACAAAAACCCAATTACGAATTCTCACTTGTTTCAGCCTTCAAGTCTTGTTCAATAGATTCTTGTATCACACGAGGCCAACAACTCCATTCCCTTGTCTTAAAATCCGGCTTTGAATCCAACATTTACATCCTAAATAGCTTAATCTCTTTTTATGTAAAATGTGGATTAGTAACTGATGCTAAGTCTATCTTTGACGCTAGTACTAGGTCAGATGCAGTGTCTTGTAACATAATGTTGTGCGGGTATGTAAAATTTGGGCTTTTGGACGAAGCTCGTGCGGTGTTTGATAAAATGCCTGAGAAAAATTGTGTGTCTTATACCACTATGATAATGGGTTTGGTACAGAAGGGGTTTTGGAGTGAGGCTATTTGGGGTTTTCGGGATATGAGGTACTTTGGTGTTGGTCCAAATGAGGTGACTATGGTGAATGTCATCTCAGCTTATTTGCATTGTGGTGGGGTTGAGGTGGGTAAGATGCTTCACGGGTTGGTGTTGAAAGTTGGGGTTACTGATTTCGTTCACGTATCCACCAATTTGCTTCATTTGTATTGTCTTAGTGGGTGTTTAAAGGATGCTAGTATGTTGTTTAATGAGATGCCTGAAAAAAATGTGGTTTCTTGGAATGTAATGCTGAATGGGTATACTAAGGCTGGGTTAGTTGATTTAGGTAGAGAGATTTTTGAACAGATTGTTGATAAAGATGTGGTTTCTTGGGGTACGATTATTGATGGTTATTTGCAAGTGGGGAGGTTGAGTGAGGCTGTCAGAATGTATTCTGAAATGCTACATACTGGGCTGCATCCTAATGATGTTATGATTGTAGACTTTCTATCAACATGTGGACAAGTGATGTGTATTTATGAGGGTAAGGAGTTTCATGGTGTAGCTGTGAAGAAGGGTTTTGATATCTTGGACTTTATACAGGCAACAATAGTTCACTTTTATGCAGCTTGCGGGGAAGTGGATCTTGCTCGTTTGCAATTTGAAGTAGGAAACAAGAACCATATTGCATGTTGGAATGCCCTAATAGCAGGACTTATTAGAAATAGAAAAATTGAAGAGGCGAGACATTTATTTGACCAAATGCCTGCAAGAGATGTTTTCTCGTGGAGTTCCATGATTTCTGGTTACTCACAAAGTGAGAAGCCTGATTTGGCTCTTGAGCTTTTTCGTGAGATGTTAGCTAGTGGCGTAAAACCAAATGAAATAACTATGGTCAGTGTCCTCTCTTCTATTGCTACTTTGGGAACATTTAAAGAAGGTAGATGGGCTCATGATTATATTTGCAAAAACTCCATCCCTTTGAATGACAACTTGAGTTCAGCACTGATTGACATGTATGCCAAATGTGCTAGCGTCAATGATGCCTTAGAGGTATTCAATCGAGTTCGAGAGAAAGCTGTTGATGTCTCACCATGGAATGCCATTATTTGTGGCCTGGCAATGCACGGTCACGCGCATTTATCTCTTGATATTTTCTCAGATTTGCTGAGGCGAACCATTAAACCCAATTCAATCACCTTCATTGGAGTCTTAAGTGCATGTTGTCATGCTGGGTTGGTGGAGGCTGGTGAACAGCATTTCCAGAGCATGACTAAATTGTATAATGTAGAACCAAATGTTAAGCACTATGGTTGTATGGTGGATCTTTTTGGCAGAGCAGGAAGGTTGAAAGAAGCTGAAGAGCTCATAAGGAGCATGCCAATGGAGGCAGATTGCATCATATGGGGCACATTGTTAGCTGCTTGTAGAACTCATGGTAACACAGAAATAGGAGAAAGGGCTGCAGAGAACCTTGCAAGAGTGGAGCCATCTCATGGTCCTAGTAGGGTCCTTCTCTCTAACATTTATGCAGATGCCGGCAAATGGGATGATGCATTTCTAGTAAGGCAAGCTATGCGAAGTCGAGGATTGACAAGGTCAACTGCATATAGTGGCGTTGTATGATACTTTGATTTTGTTACCTGTTGTTACAGCAAAACTCTTTTTGCACTGGGCTGCCAAGAGAAGAGTTCACCAAGGGTTCGGTTGTTCGCCGATTCAAGTGGTAGTTGGGTATAGAATGTCGTGAGACGGTTCGGTTCCTATCTACTGTTAGTGTTAAAGGGAGAACTGCGAGGAGCCAACCCTATTACGAGAGTACTGGGTTGGGCTAACCTATGTTATACCGGTTGTTATGCGAATAGCAGCGCCGGGCAGCTAAGTTGGTATGGAAGAACTGCTGCGCTGCGGGATATCCTTCTCTAGTGCGTGATTACAGAGTTTATATCACCATCTAGTCTATCTCGGCCAGTGTAAGCTTTAACTGATTGATTGAGGCATAGTTGATAGATTAATTGATTGATATAGTCTATATTGGCCAATACATTGTACATTGCAGTTGCCAAGAAAACATTTCAAGCTAACTGCTGATTGTCTTCAGTTCTTTCTTTTATAATGGCTATCCTTGTGTTACGAGATGTAAAAAGTTTGGAAAAGTTGGTTCTTTTCCTACTATCTATTTGGGGATGTCTTTGGGAGCAAAAAGCAAATCCAAAGAAATATGGAATGGAGTTCTGGAAAGATGTGAGAAAAAGTTAGCCAGATGGAAAGCACAATACATTTCTTTGGGAGGTAGACTAGTTCTTATTAACTCTGTGTTACACGCTCTCTCAACCTACATGATGTCCCTATTCCCTTTTTACCTGCAAGTGTAGAAAGGAGAATGGAAGTCATGAGAAGGAATTTCCTGTGGCATGGAAATAAAGAGAAGAAAGGATTTCACTTAGTTAAATGGAAAAAGTTGACCATTAGTATACTAGAAGGGGGTTTGGGAATCAGAAATTTGAGAAGGCAAAACAAATGTCTATTAATGAAGTGGTTGTGGAGGTTTACAAGGGAAGAACAAACACTATGGGGAAGGGTGATAAGAGCGAAGTATGGAAAAGAAGGCTTCTGGATGACTAGGGAGGTGAAGAATCGTTATGGAACCAGGAACATGTGGCCAAGTCTTTCATCCAAACTGAATTTTAATGTGAGGGATCTTGGAATAGGATGCTTGAAGGTTTTATTCCCTGACATTTTTACATTGAATCAGCAACAAAGAGCTACAATGAAGGATGTATGGGGGTTTCAGGTATGGAACTTAACATTCAGAAGACTACTTCAAGATTGGGAACTGCCTAAAATTGCAGAATTCTATAACACCTTGGATCAAGGTAGAGGATTGCAAGAGGGGGAAGACACTCTTTCATGGAAGAAGCACATTAGTGGAAGTTATACATTAAGTTCAGCCTACAAAAAATTGAATCAGGTGTCTCAAAACAGTTTATGGCCTTCGAAACACATATGGAAGGTTTAAATACCATACAAAGTAGCATGCTTTACTTGGTTGGTGGCTAAAGCAGTACTTACTCAGGAAAATCTTAGGAAAAGAGGACTGCCAATTTGTTCTAGATGCTATTTATGTGGACAAGATGCGGAGAGGCCATCTGTTTCTACATTGTAGAGTGACCAGACAGTTGTGGAAATTATTCATCAACCTTTGAACTTCTGGAACGTTGGAATACAGGGGGGAATTCTACCTAAACAAAGACAGATGGAAAATTGTCCCAGCAGCTATTTGGTGGACATTATGGAAGGAGAGAAATGCAAGATGCGTTGAAGATACAAGCAGCCCTACACACAAGATTAAGATGAATTGTATTCTTCTTTTTAGTTATTGGTGTAAATTAGAATATATTGATGACCATGATTCAATCATAGAAGTTTTAGGCTCCTTGTGAGAAGAACAAGGATGTTACGCTTTTGGTTTTTGCCTAAGTTATCCATGATGTACATTTTGGCTCCCAGCACAATTTTTGTGTTGATGATTTAATTAGTATAATAGATATGTTACCTTTTCAAAAAAAATAAACATAAACGAGAATTAAAGAAAATGAATGAAATACAGTATCTTGTAAAATTAAAAAGAAAAAACAATATTTAGTATAGCATGCATGGTTGAGAATAATCATATCCTCCGCAGACCCCACGGTGTAAGGTAGGGGTAAGGTATGCGTACACACTACTCTCCCCAGATCCCACGGCGTGGGATAAGACGGTACGTTGTTGTAATGAAAATTTAAGCACTTACTAATGATGGGAAAAGTGGTGTATAGAGTAGCACATAGTGTAATAGAAGATCATGTGCCTTCAGTATCACCTCAAAAACTATTCCAAAGAAGTTGGTTCAATCTTGTTAATCACATAGAGATTATCATTAGTAATTCCAACCTAAAACATATATTTTCACACCCAATGTACATGACTTCCCTCCCATCAAGAAACAGCCTAAAAAGCACATAAAGTAGGGTTACACCTTTAAACTGTACACAATGTTCCTTGGTTGAACACTAAGTTTAAACTACCAATAACAATCTACCTACAAAATTTCTTATGGTAAGAAGAAATACTATGATGAAGCCTCCATGATCAATTCTGCAGCTGATCCCATTGTACCAACCCCACCAATGCTAAGCAAAGCAAGAGCAAGGTCCTCCTCATGCCATTGACTCAAGCCTTTACTGAGCCTCTTTAACAACTCACCATCTACTTCAAACACCCAAGTTGGCGTACAACCTACCATTAGGCTCACAAATCCCGACACGTAGGCATGCCAAGTAGCTGGATCACAACCAAGTGATATTTTGCCATCCAAGACACTGGCTATGAATTCCACGTGACGCCCAATGATTTTTGGACGTCGCTTTGATGCCATGGATAACGAGTCGACGCCACTCGCGAAAGCTCCACAGAGTACTGCAAAGTATGCCAGTGCATACCCCTTGAGCATCGGAACTAGACCACCCTCACCTCCTTGATTGGAGCTGTGAATAGACAAGAACCAAGAGGGAAGAGTCTCTTTTATTAATGACTGCACCAGCCCTGAGCCACCAGATAACCATAGCAAAGAAGCCCCAAGCAAGGCAGCTAATTTCACCCTTGTCATTGTTTTAGCAAGTGAAACATTTCCAAATTTCTTTCCATTTTTGGGTATCTTCAGTTTGTCCAACCTTTGTCTTGGAAGCTCACTGTGTGCTATATCACTTATAGATTGCATCAGAAGAGAAACAATCTCTTCTCTCAAGAACATGATGTCTCTGATGGATCTGTAAACTCGTAGATACAGAATACCTGGGGCAACTGGAGAAATACCACCATAGAAATGTGATCCAAATCCGTGTCCAAGAAGTGCACCAATACCACCATTGCTTGATATGGAGGAAGAGTTCAAACCAAGGGTGGTCATGAAGCAACTTTTGAGAAGCTGAATGACTGCATGGTTGTTGTTGAGAAAGACGGTTCGAGATGCAGAAAACACAAGGAAGTCACTCCACCGTTTTGCCTTTTGGGTCCACAAAGAAGCCACAATTGGCATGCATGGCCAAGGGCAGCCAGCTGCAAGTGACTCCAGAGCGGGGCCTGCCAGATTGAGAAAACGCTGGGACGCTTTATCGAGTTTATACGTTATAGTAAGGCTGACAAAAGCAGCCAATGGCAGTGGAAGGATTGCCGGCGAGCTGCCGCCTGGGAAAGAAAAAAATTGGAATTCAGTGATCAAGTACAAAAAGTTGAAGAAAAGATTCTCATCATGCCTAGACACCACAGATGATTTCAGTTCTTACACAATCAAAGATAAATAAACATAGGTTTCCCATGAAGGAAACGACACTTACAGATCTGTTATTCTAAAAATGTTTTTCATGAATCTTTTGCCGCCCTTATTTTAGATACTCCCTTACTTCCAAAAAGAATGTCAGCATTTGGAGTGCGAGGGGAGCGCATTTAATTTTCAGTGCAAATTCAGACATCAATGTCTTAATCTTTTTGAAATAACATACTCCCTCCATTTCAATTTATGTAAACCTATTTCCTTTTTAGTCCGTGCCAAAAAGAATGACCTCTTTCCATATTTGGAAACAATTTACCTTTATGCAATGATTTATAGCCACACAAAATATATGTGCCTCATTTTACACCACAAGTTCAAAAGTTTCTCTTTTTTCTTAAACTTCGTGCCCAGTCAAATAAGTTCACATAAATTGAAACGAAGGGAGTATAATATAAAAAACTATTTAAAAAAATACTAGAAATAACAATTTTTTATACTTACAACAACTATAAAAAGGTTAGAAAAATTGTAGTTAAAGAAAATAGTATGACTTCCCAAAATAGTAATTGTATCATTCGTCTTGGAATGGAGGAAGCATTTAGCTTCAGACTCAAGTCTATATGTGGTTCAGAAGATGTGAAGCAACATATGTGGCTTTACGCAGATAATGACATTCTTATAATCACTGTCAGTAACGGGGAAAAACCTGCAGCAAGGCTTGGGACATCTACACCAGTGGCTGCTAGAATTTTCTTGATCTGTTCCTCAACATTGGAGAGATTTGCAGCAGGACTTGGCCAATCAGTGCCATTCATAAAAACTGGTTTCCAAACACCACGAGTGACCTCAGCTGAGAAGTAGCTTACAATGGTTGCTAGCGATGCAGGAAGAAAATCAGCCAAATCTTTAAGTCCTGAAATTGTGAAAATGGAACTATTTGATAATATAGAACCATAATTTTAAAGCCTTTATGAGAACTAAAGGCATTGTCAAAGTGCTTGAAATTCCTAACACTCCTCCCCCTTAAAATTATGCTTTAACACATCAAAGATACACATATTTACAAGGAAGCAACTACAGTCAAATTCCAAAAAATGTATGCTGCAACTCACAAACTAGTTTTAATTGCTAATTAGTTCACTCAGAGATGTGCAAGTGGATGATCTTGAAGTTGCAGATACTCAGGTTGAAAGGAAGATGCACTTTAAAAGAGTCATTTGTCACATTCATTGACTAACCTGTGCACAGTTCACGGGGAGAAAGTCTTCCATGAGCACAGGCTGTTAGAGCAGCATCAACCACAAAAGGAACGGCTTCGAGGATGTCCCAAGCAGGTAATTTAGGCCTTGGAGAAGTATCCTCACTTCCAGTTCCAGAGGAACTGCTACTTCCGGATGTTATGGAGATCAAACTCTGACTTCCCCCATTAATCTTTTTGAACATCATATTGAGTAAAAGATCAACAGTTTGACAGACAAGAGTCCCATTTACAAGACCCGACAAAGTTGAAGCTATACATGCCAAATGTTGCCTATACCAAACTCTCAATTTTGGAAATGAGTCCACAAATATAGGATTAGGAGAAGATGAACTTGCAACAGCTGCAAGCCTCCTTCTATTTGGATCCTTTAGCATGTCTCCGGAAGACACAAGATGGGAATTCCTCATTAGTAGGAGGTATTCAGGAGTTAGTTGGCATCCCACAGGGGGCACATCTCCGACTCTATATTCAATAGGTGGATGGTTGAACCTCCATAACTTTAGTAGTAGAGCAAAGGCATTTGAGAACACAGCATGCACTGAGATGTCCTCTCCTGTTGTTAGCGTCCATGAGATATTAGGAACACATGAACCAAATACCTCACAAATTGTCATTAATGAAGCAGCAAGTTGTGGGACCTGCAAAAATAGAAATCAGTACCTTGAAGTTTATGTAGGCATGCAGAACTCTGAAATTATTCACGCCTCACTCTCTCATTTAAGTAAAAATGTAGAGAAAATGAGTTCTCCCATCTGACCGGGAGGTATTTAAGGGCATCTTAAATGTTTTAAGGATAGAGTAAGATGCTGCTACAACTCTTACTTTCCACAGTTACTTGAATACAACTTGACTTTCAAAAGAAAAGTTGAATAAATCTTTAAGTTCTTTCATGTCTTTGTTAAGTAAGATTTCAGATTTCGTTATTCGCTTTTTGGCTTCAAGAATCTGTTGAGAAGAGAAAGCTAAAATGTTCTCTTCTGAAAACTTATATGTTTTCCACTTCCTCATTAAATTTTTCTCAAAGTTATCAAATTTTAACAGCATTTAGTGGAACCTAATGGAAGTGTCATGCTTATTATGTTTCACGGTTCAAAAGGAACACAGTCAAGGGTGTAGTTCACAAGTTTTAAGGCCTCATACATGTCATACTGTACAATGTCAGCATGGTAACCGTTGAAACTCCCTGCATGAAAACCTTGTACAAAAGATTGTTCTACTCCAAGACTTTAGGAGAGCAAGTGTACCACTGCTCTAACACTCAATCTTATCTTGGATAAGAAAGGAAAAAGTTAACCAATCAAGCAAGTGATCTATCATGGAGAAAGAACTCAACTTCTACACACAATGAGCTGAGACTAAGGACTTTGTTTCCCAGCTGAAAATAATAAACTTTAAAAAAGGCGCCCACAATTGAGAAGAAGGCCCTTTGTTTAAGATAACTTAGTTCTTTTGCTTCTCTAGCAGCCCTTATATGAATAATAAAATTCTAAACAATAAGTTAGGTCTGGATATTAGTGGAACTAATCAATTCCATAGTAGTGTAACCAACATGCAAGGAGATTACCATCAACACATAGAAAATGTATTTTCATCTTATATAAGAAATAATATGAAGCTTAACAAATATACCATGCCGTGAAGGGAGAAAATCTGAACACAGTCCACTGGTGCTATTCCAACGAGTAAGACATTTAACGTTGGGGCATAGCCTATCAAATGGCTATCTTTACCAGAGTAGTCAGTAGGAACTGGAGGAGACAATAGCCTGGTTATGAAATTAACAGTATGTTCCTGCATGATCATAACCAAAAGGAAGAATCACATTATTCCTCTGCGTGAACGATTTAATAATACTTAATGGGTAACAGGACCATAATGTGATTACTTAGGCTTGACACATGAACCATTTGGCACATGCATCCACAATCTAAACTAAA